GCAACAACTTCATCAACGTCTTTGATACAATCAGAATTCTGGCAGGTTGTAAAAATCTTGAGATCTTAATCCTATCAAATAATTACTATGATGAAACTTTACCTGCTGAAAAGAGCTTCATAGGGCCAGCTGAATTCACTAATCTGCAAGTTCTTGCTCTCGGGGGATGCAACTTCAGAGGGCGATTTCCAGATTGGCTGTTGCATATCAAGAGCCTAGGAGTTCTGGACCTGTCATACAATCAAATAGCAGGCAGTATTCCAGATTGGTTTGGTACTTTACCAAGCCTTTTCTACTTGGACTTGTCAATGAATCATCTTTCAGGAGAATTTGCGCTGCCACTCAACTGTTTTCCAGCATTAAAATCAGAGGGGTCTGCCCCCAAATTGATCCAAAGCAACCTCAAGCTCCCAGTATTATTGCTGCCAACAACTCCACAAGACAGCAATACAATGAGCTCTCAGTCCTTCCACCAGCAATATACCTCAATGGAAACAACCTCAGTGGTAATATCCCAGTTGAGATAAGTCGATTACAGAATCTTCAAATACTTGATCTGAGTCAAAATCATTATTCAGGCAACATCCCTTCAGAACTTGGGAACCTCAGAAACCTAGAAGTGCTCGAACTTTCTCACAACAATTTGAGTGGGGGGATTCCAGCATCACTGCAAAGCCTAAATTTCTTATCTAAGTTCAATGTTTCCTACAACCTCCTCGAGGGACCAATACCTACAGGAGGTCAATTTTCATTCTCAGAATGTAGTTATTTAGGGAATCCAGGGCTATGTGGTGGAATCCTGATACATAATCCTTGTTCACCTCAATCGGTTCCAGGAGCACATCAGCAAGAAACACCCGATACAAATCAGAAGACTTCATTTATAAAAGGATTGATAACTGGCTTCTCCACAATTTTTCCTTCCGTACTTGCAATTCAAGCTTACCGCCATAGAAGGATCCTTTTTACAGAAACAGGCAATGAATGGGAGACACTCTTGTCTATTAGTCCACAATGGTTTAAAAAAAATTCTTGTTATATTTTTAACCCGAGTCATTTATACAGGATACTTAATCAGAAGTTCAGATCCACTGATTATTTCAGGGGGAACAAATGCCAAAAACCAAGGATAGAGAATGAAACATTATAATGATTGTATAGAAATTACCATTCTAGAACTTTATTACTCTTGCTAAATTATTTTGTTATGATGTGGATTTCACTGTGAGTCATCTATTAACCACCTCAACCTCAACTAGAATATGTGTAAACGTTGTATGAGATTTAAGCCTGTAATTAAGTATTCGTTCGTGTTTTCTTCATTGTAGTTCTGTGACAAAGCCGCTAAGTTTTTGTTTGTGTTTCTTCAATGTAATTTTGTGACAAAGGAACTTTCATATCCTCATATCTTGTATTCTAAAACTCTGAAGTATAATTGCCAGAACTGTATATCTTTATTTTTGATCTCCTATATATGAAAGTAGTTCCCAAAATAATGGAGTCTCCTACTAAGTACAAGAGTTTCATTATAATAAAATACATGAAGTTTTCTTTAGTTTTAAAGTTTCCTTAAGAATAAACTACAAAGAGTATCACTAATAATATTCTACTAAAATGGCAAAGTAAACATCTTGACTAACAGACCAAGTCCACCCTTGACCAAAAGTAAACGCAAAATTAGTATCAAATAATTTTAGCTTTCATTCTCAAGGCCTCTAATGACATAAGTAGAAAAACACAACCAAAACATTCACAAAAAAATGTACAGAAGAGAAGGGTGAAAGAACAGAATAACTACTCTTTAAGCTATGAAGTTAGGCTTCTTACCTTTATTACCTCAAAGCAACTCTTATCTTCTCTTCATACTGCTATTACTATACTCCTCTACCTTCTCTAATCAGCAAGCTTGTAATCCACAAGATCAACAATCCCTTCTCGCCTTTTGTAATTTGCTATCCTCTTCGTTGGGTCCTCTAAATTGGAGTTCTGACACCAATTGTTGCTCCTCTTGGGAGGGAATCGGTTGTGATGATAAGGGCAGGGTAACTTTGTTGTGGCTACCCTTGAGAGGATTAGAAGGAAGCATCACCGCTTCGCTTGGAAGCCTTACAAGCCTTTCTAAGCTCAATCTATCCTATAATCATCTTACAGGGTGTCTCCCAGAAAGACTTTTCAGCTCATTGAATAGCCTTGAGATCTTTGATATACAGTCAAATTCTCTGTATGGTAATCTCTCCGCATCTTTTTCCTCAGATGGTAGTTTTTCTTCCCCATTCAAGTTATAGATATTTCAAGCAATATTTTCCATGGAGGAATTGAGCCATATTGGTTCTTCCAAGGTTCAAATTTGTCGAGTTTCAATGCCAGTAGCAACGGCTTCACAGGCCACATTCCTTCAGCTATTTGTATCACTTGTCCTCTGCTTAGGACACTTGATTTCTCCGACAACAGTTTTAGTGGTGAGCTTCCTGTTGGACTAGGAAATGCTTGAAACTCAGAGTACTCCGAGCAGGTTTCAATTTTCTCTCTGGATTACTTCCTGATGACATTTACAGGCTAAGGTCACTTGTCGAGTTACCACTGCCTGTAAATAACATTGGTGGAACCATTGGAGGTGGAATTTTAAAACTTGCAAATCTCAGGATCATCAAGCTGTATTCGAACAACTTTGCTGGTGCAATCCCTCAAGAAATCGGGAAGCTATTTAAACTGGAGCAATTGTATCTTCACATCAACAATCTCAATGGTTCTATACCAGCATCACTGATGAACTGCACAAATCTTGTAAAAGTCATTCTTAGAGTGAATTCCCAGGAAGGTAACATCTCTAAGCTTGATTTTTCGAGGCTTAACCATCTCCAAACACTGGACCTTGGTAACAATAACTTCATAGGAAATTTACCAGAGAGTTTATTTTCATGCAAATCACTAACTGCAGTTCGAGTAGCCTCCAACAACTTAACAGGACCAATTCCTCCCAATATAGTGGCATTAACATCTTTAACTTTCCTCTCTCTCTAATAATAGCTTCACCAATGTGTCGAATGCAATCAAGATTTTTGCAGGTTGCAAGAGCCTTGTCACTCTCATCCTGTCAAAAAACTTCTATAATGAAGCTATACCAGGCAAAAAGACCATCACAGGACCAGAAGGATTTAAAAACCTACAAGTTCTCGCCTTGGGAGGATGTAACTTCAAGGGGAAATTTCCAGAGTGGCTGGTATATATCAAGAGTTTAGTAGTTTTGGACTTGTCATACAATTGAATTACAGGCAAAATTCCAGAGTCAGTAGGCAACTTGTCAAGCCTCTTCTACTTGGACTTGTCTATGAATCATCTCAGAGGGGATCTTCCACTGCAACTCTCAAGGCTTCCAGCATTAATTTCAGAGGGTGTTGCTCGGAAACTAAGCTTAAGTTTTCTTCAGCTCCCAGTGTTTGTTTCCCCCAACAATGTTACTAGTCGCCAATACAACCAGCTCGCACACCTGCCTCCAGCAATATACCTCAGCGGTAATCAACTAAGTGGCAGAATTCCAGTTGAAATAACTCAACTACAGAATCTTCATGTGCTGGATCTCAGTAAAAACTGCTTCTCAGGCAGCATCCCATCAAGATTTTCAAACCTAACAAATCTAGAAATGCTTGATCTTTCTCAGAATAATTTGACCAACAGAATTCCAACATCACTACGTAGTCTAAATTTCTTATCAAGATTTAATGTTTCACACAACCATCTTGAGGGACCAATACCTGAAGGAGGTCAGTTTGACACTTTCACTGAAAGTAGCTATATCGGTAATCCAGGGCTATGTGGTCAAGTTCTGCAGAGTCCTTGTTCAGCTCAACCTGTTCAAGACGCACATCAGGATACAGCTGATAAAAGCATGAAGACATTTCTTGTTGAAGGATTTCTAACTGGTTTCTCCATAATATTTCCTTCTGTTCTTGCAATTCAAGCATACCGTCATCGGAGGATCCTCTATTACAGCAAGAAGCGATGAATGAAGATACCCCTATTCAGTTGATCAGTCAGATTGGCAAGTTATCTAAAATCTCTCTCACGATAATAAGTAAGCGGCAAATACCAGCATCACTGAAAAGCCTTTTTTATATAAATGAAGAAAAAAACTTCATAGATTTGAATTTTTAACATTTTTCAGTACTTTTGCTTTTTGTACAGCTTGTACTTGCAACTCAATCATTTCGCTCTTTAATCCGAACAAAAACGCTCATATTCAATTGATAACAAGAAGGGAATTATGCAAAGAACGGAATTGAAATGTACATGAAAGTTATACAAATCAGATTAAATCCAAAAGACACTTTCTGCAAAGGTAGCATGAAAATCATACTGGCCTTTTTCCTTAAACTGAAGCTGGGGAGAATGGAAACCCCTAATATAGGATTAGATGAAACAAAACAAGGTTAGCTTTTGTTTGATGCGTCAATACGAACAATATTTACTTTGGCTCGATTAAGAGAACGCTAGCAAAATACTGTAAGTTAGTATTTACGACAGCCACTTAACTTTCATTTCACAAACGAGCTTATTTCACATGAGCCAGATTCTCCTTGGTTACATAAGGCTCTAAAATTTTACCAATATCCCATCAAACAACAATTAACATCTTCATAATCCACATATTATTCAAAAAGATGGTCTTATAGCATGCAGCCAATCAAATAAACTTCAGAATGCAGGAGTAGCGGCTAGAATTTATGCAACATACAAGCATTTGTTTTTTGAAATTCAAACTCTGAACAACACATTGCATATGAAAGCCAACGTATTATAATTAATCAATCATATGATTAACCAGGCCAAAAGTCAAGTAAAAAGCTTATTTCTGTTTTTTGGAGAAAACAAATCTTTTTATTCACTTGTGGGAAAAATACGCAAAGCAGGGGAGTCTGCAGTCTGCTACACACACCCCTCACTGAGCAAAATTTCTATCTCGACATCCCTGTGAATCTATGAGTGGGCAGGAGGAAGCAGAATAGAGAGGCAATAAGTAAATATGCCCAAACCCCTTTAGCAGAGAGCTATTCATAGAATTATATAACTGGTAATCTGGTATACACTTGAAAGCCACGGATCATGATAGTTCTATCAATTGAAACACCGAAAACAAGTTTCTACAAATTCTCAATCTGAATATGTGGTACGATTCTTCTTACAAAATTGCAAATCTAATCACTTTAAAGAAAAGTTCTTCAGAAATGCTCCTAATCCTAACCAACACTTCAGCTACAACTCCTGGTACCTGAGAACCTCTTGCGGATTCAACTCAAAAGTCTTGCAAATATCTATCATGACGCATCTGCTAAGGCCATCATCTGCATTTCCACGGCAAACAAGTTCTTCCAGTTGCTTCGATGGTTCCAAGACCTACCCAAATATGAAGAATCATCCTCAATGGGTAATAGCAAATACATTACAAAAACAAGATTCTTTATCGGTCAACTTGCACGACATGCCAAAACTTTTTATGGTTTTAATTTATACTATCATCTTATCAAATTTGAGGAAGTAATGATCAAACTCTGAAATGATTTATTAGCTTCTCTAATTGTTAAAAGTAAAAACCAACAATCCCCCTGGCTTAATTTAAAAATTGAGCTTTACGGCTTATTCAATCTATATATTCTTCCACCATAAACATTTTAAGTGGCAGTGGTGACTGTTTATCAGCAGGCTACACTCAGCAAAAACTCAACAACCAACAAGAAAAAAAAAAGTTCCTTACCAAACGTAACCCAGTTGCTTCATCATTGGAGCTATTATGACGTTCGTTTTCTTTCTTGTTACTGCATCGACCATCTGAACCATCTGAGACAAGCTGAAGAAGCTTTTCACTGCCCTATAAGATTTTGACCAGCATTACTAAGTTAAATCATAAATGAACAGAAGTAAGTGGAGTATGGCCCTAGAACCAGGCATGTATATCAAATCTACAGGGGGGGGGGGTAATGGCTTAAATCACTAGTATCGTAGCAGAAACACACACTTGATACAGGTGTGCAGTGTAATATATGAAAACTTCTTGCTCAATCTCAAGGTGGTTGCAATTCAATAAAGCAATGAGAGGGAAGAATATCTTTCAACTGCTAATTATGTTTCTACAACATATACTGCTAAGAGCTTTAACTAGCCAAAATTGTCTATATGATCTTTCTTCACACATTGAGCTATTCAAGAAACAAATACTAGGTAGCAGTGAGCCAGTGAGGTAATCTTCACCTAGATTTCCAAAGGAGCCAAAAAAAAATGGATAGTAGGTTTTGTAGACAAAAAACGTCTGTAGCAAGCTACGCAGGAGTCTGGCACGCTTATTAACTGCAAAGGTTGGTGTTAAAATCTGGAGTATTGTAACCTATGAGTTCTTTCCAAAAGTTTCAGTAATTTGACAAGCATCGGTAATCTCTCCACCTCAGTAAAATTTAATTAATTGCAATAAAGCTCTGCAGGCACCTAACAATTTCAACTACATAATGTATAGTCAGCATTGTATCTCTAACAAAGGTTCCTCCAATAACATGGAGATCCTAATATTTCAATACTAGCTTAGACATAGCAACATTATGAATTTATAATGTTGTTTGAAACAATTGTTGGAAATGGAAAGCATAAAAAGTAGACCACTCAACCCAATTTTTGAGCAAACCAGAATGATCAATGACCAACAAACATCAATTTGATCATTTTAAAAAAACGGTGAAGTGATTTTTAACAAAAACTTAAAATCTTCATTCTAAAATAAAAAAAAATAAAAATAAATCCACACAGAGGTTTACAAGACTCCTATCACCCATAAAATAACAACATAACCTGACCTAAGTTAAATAAATAAAATACAGCACACACCTGCCAGGCACGCCAGTGAGAATATGTGCGATACAGCAGCCAAAAGAATGGGATGTTGGGCAAAGGTAGAACCTGATCATCAAGGACCAGATGATATCAGTTTTTGCTACTGCCAAAAGTCATGAAAAAAAACATTGCATGGGCAAAATCATTACCATGAAGACAGAGGATACTGGAAGCAATGCTGCAGAGCCATACAAATACTTTTTGTGAATTATTGATCCACTGAAAAAAAAAAATATATACCAATGTATCATCAATAAATAGATTACTCACTGCCTTGAAAATATAGACCTAGCTAGGGAAAAGAACTAAGGAAGTGGGCAATTAAATACACAATAGCAAAATCTATCAACATTCAGTAATAATTAGACTAAGACAAGCCAACATGGTGACCACCAGGGTCCACATCCTCCACCACCACCACTCATAATAAGCGTTGATTAGAATTTGGGATCATATACCCACACTCAACATAGGCAGACACACCATTGTTTGAAAATGATGCGCTTCCAAGAAGCAAATACTTTATAAATGAATGTTTGCAGAGGAGAGAGGCCACCTGCCAACCGCTTATTTCAGCATTATAAGGCTGACCTAAAATACTTATTAAAAAAAAAACCTGGTGACATTCACAAGTCACAAAAGTCCAACAATGCAATTCATCAAAACAACCTACTTACCTTCTCATATATTAACTAGCCATGCACACTTAGTTTCATAATGTAAAAATGATGGTAACTTGACCCTCTAGTTTTTAGCAACAAAAGGCCATTTGAATTTATCAGATTACTTGAATTCACCAAAGCTCTACTATAAACAATTCTCTAGGTCAACATATAAATGCCAAAAGACACAAAAATCAAGCAGATATTCAATACCTCATAGCAATGTGTCGTAATCTTCGACGTACAAGTCTAGCATTTAAACTGCATCATCAGAAACAAACCATAATTGGAAACTCAGAATTTACAGCAGATGTGATTCTACAAATTTCAGAAAATCTAAATAGAAAATAACTGATATTCCTATAGGAAATATATTTAGTATTTCAAATGATTAGAGATGGGAACTGAGTGCAATGTGATAAATTTAAGAGTAAAAAAATCTAGCTTATGTTATTAGTGTCAAATAGCTGGTATATGAGCATGCTGACTAATAAACAGCACTCTTATGTTAGCTGGTTAAGAACAACACTGAATACATCTCATTACAATATATGAAAATGAGGGAATGCCAAATACAGAAGTCTAAACATGAAAGCAAAGAGGGAACCTTGTTGGATATGTAACTTCAACTCCAGTGACTTCCTTAGATATAGACTTCAAGAAGAGCTCACTTGGCTTGACCCGAGAAAGCAACCATAACCCGACACTGCATAAAAGTTTAGGCTTAAAATAAGGAATATGATAGGAAGTCCAGTAAATCACAGTAGGCAAAGAGAAAATTTACATCTAAAAGTACCCATAAATCTTGTTTTTGAAAGACCCTTGCGGTGCCTTCTCCAAACCCATCCAAGCTGTATTCATCTTTAGAAAAAAAAAAGATAAAGAGGTTTAACTGATTGAACGGAATCCATCAAAATATGGCACATGCAATTAGCTAGATTTTTGCATACATAAACAAAAATAAGAGAAATCGAAAGGGAAAACAGACAGAGAACATCAAATGGGTAACAATGTAACATACCAAACAGGTGGCACATTATTTTGACTATAAAACCCAAATTTGCTCCAATTTTATTGAACTTCTCAACATCCCAACAAATGAAAATGCGAGACATTAGTTCTAAGTATCAAACTGGTTGTTCTTAGTTTGTGCCTGTCCCATTAAATCTGGCATGAGTGGCATCCACCATTCCACTAGAAGCTCAATACTGGCTAATTCAGGCTTCATAAACAATAACAAACTGAAATAATTTCTGCTTCGCAGATAGCTGCTTAGGGACTACAAATGACACATGGGGAAGTAGTGTCTAATCCTAAGTTCATCACAAGGTTCAAAAAGTTCATCACAAGATTCAACGACTATTGCTTCATAATATGAAAAAAGGTTCACACTATTGCTTCATAATACCATACTACGACTGCATTCAACGATCGAGCAAGCGGTTTGCAGCAAACACCACATCATGACGGATGATCATTACTCCGATTAGAAAATGACTACCCATAACACCAAAATTGGCAATATATCCCAGCATACAACTATCAACAGCTATCAAAATATGAAAAATAGCCCAGATTAATCATATTATATACTTAATCTCCCAAGAAATTACCCACATTCAGATATTACCAACATTACAACAATAATCTTGCACCCCCACATCATTGCTACCAAAAATCAACAACCCCATTTGAAGATTATAATGTCAGCCAATAACAATCAAACCAAGAAGCAAAAATTCTTATACAACAGGTGTATCGTATACAACAGACCCAATCATCCTCAAATCACACCCACAAAACTGCAGTAATGTAAAAGAGGGAGGAGAGAAAGACCTTATGTGAGACAAAATCAACAAGAAGCTCGGCATTAGCAGTAACAGGCTGAGAAGAGGATGAGAGAGACTTCCAGAGATCTCTAATAGTTGTAGGAGTAGACGATAACTTTGACGTATCGCCGGAAATTAAGGAATCCATTGATCTGCTAAAACACCAATTCCTCCCTTTTACTGGAAACACTACCAATCTAGCTCGCATCATTGTTGTTTAATTGAAGATTAATGTTTAAAGATTTAGGAAGAAGAAGGGTTAAACGAAGGATCATAAACCCTAGAAATACAAAATGATGGAATTTGGGGATTTTTTCAGGTGAGAGACAACGGCGGGATTTTGAAGAATTAATGAGTCAAGTTTTGTTTGGTTAAACCAACGAATTAAGAATTGTAGAATTAGAAACGAGTTTCCCCTCTTAAAGTAAGAATTTTACGTAGTATGACTTCTACCACCATAAAAAAATATAAACTTGATTTTTATCATTAATATTATTTCTAAAAGTTTTATTTTACATCTAATAAAGAATACAGAGTACTTTCTTCATGTTTTTTTTTTATTGCATCATTTGGACTTTTGCACTATTTACATAATTTTCTTTGACCATCTTTTGTGAGTTATTAATAAAGAAAAACATAGTCACGTGGGATCTAGTTAGATTCATCTCAAAATCTACTTTCTAAATATCAACTTTTTATAATTTTTACAAAAGTATAATTAAAGATATTAATAGCTAAAGTAACGCATTGGCAAGCGTGAAACTCCACATGATGCAATAAAAAAAACATGGAGGAAGTATAAATTTTGAGCGGTCTGTAAAAAATAAGTCAATATTTTAATTATTTTTAAATAATACAAACTTTAGTAGATATCTGCTATAAATAAAAATGACTGGTAGGACACATGTCATTATTTTATTGGCTTGAAAATAATTTAATTTGAAATTTTTTTAATGTTTTTTTTTTGAAATTGTTACCCACCTATTGTAGGTGGGCAATTTTTTTTTAATGTTTTTAATTTTTATAAGATATTAAATAATATAGTGTTTTTTCCGTGTGGCCGAGGTTACTTATATAGGGGTTATTTATGTCGGCAACAGTTACTTATTCAAGGGTTACTCACCCGGCAGAGGCGGAGCCAGATATGGTCCTGGTACTCTGGTAGTGCCCTATCTGGGGAAAAAAGGTCAAATCAATTTTTCAGTTAAATATAAACAATGTTTTTTTTTGGTTCTTTTTTTAAAAAAAAAACATTATTTTTATTAGTGCTTAATTTTCTATTTACCCAATACCAAAATAAATTATCATGAAGGTTTTATCTCATTGAACAAGATTACTTTTTTAGTTAAGATGATGAATTGATGATGTAATAATAATAGTAAAAATAATTATAGTGGTTTCAAAAAAAAATTAAAGTAGTAATAATAATAATAATAATAATAATAATAATGAAATCTGCTCTGCTGAAATCTGCTCTCTACTTTGTTGCAATCTGCTATGCTCTGCTGAAATTTTGCTCTGCTGACTCCTGCTATGCTCTGCCCAGAATCTCAAACAAACAGGACCTGATATGTTCATTAACTAGTTTATTTATGTTCACGAGCTATTTATTTGACGTGATAAGATGTGATATCTTAAAGACGCAAGGTGCTTTTATATGAAATTTTTGTATGAATTCATTTTATAACTTTTTATAAATTATTGGAGTATTCATAATTGTTAATTTGAATCTAAATTTATAATTAGGATTTAATTATTATACTAATTTTGAGATTTCCAAAAGTCAAAAGCACAAAGCTCATTTAGTTAATTTAGAAAAGTTCGTTCATAATTTGCATTCGTTCATGAAAAACGCTTATTTGTCAACTCGTTTGATAAATGTGTAGTTCACGAGCCGTTCGCAAACACTAACGTGTACTAAATAAATCGAGTTTGAACAGATGTTTGAGCTCGCTTGAAAGCTTGTGATTGTGCTCGAGCTCGCCCGGGTTAAATGAGCTTGAACATGAACGAGGTAGTACTCGGCTCGGCTCGGCTCGTTTGCATGAATTACACCCCTGGTCTTGGCCTTGTTATTAATAATCCTTTCCAAGTGTATGTCAGTTGGTATGTTGAGCGAAGAAGGAACGTGTGGAACGAAAGTTTGGTATTCATGGGTCTTTTTTGTTATTACTTTGTCTTTGAGATTGACTTTTGTTGATCAATAATAATATATGTATTTTTCCGTTTTTTTAGTTGACACTATTTAACTTTTACATAGATTATACATTGACTAACTTTTGTAATTTGTAGCTATGATAAAACATAATGATCACTTTGGATCTTGTTTGAATCTTCCTAATATATATTTTACTAATATCCATTTTTTATAATTCTACAGTGTTTTAAAACTGTGTATTGACAATTGTGATTGTGTGATAATAGATAGTGTCAGGTATATATATATATATACTAAAAGACACACTAGCAATGTCACATGTTATCTCTTGGCTTGGTGTGTCCTTAGTTTGTATAATATAATTACTTAAAATACTACATAAAAAAATTTAATACTAGTATATCTTTAACACAAGAGTTTGTGTGGGTGACCATATCGTGAGAAATACTGACCGACTAATACCACAAAAATTAAATAAAATCATATTGTGAAATTCGAATAAACAAAAAAATTAAAAAGGATATATTGTATAATATTCCGCATTAGTTAAACATTACTCCGTAATAAGCAAAACATCGAAAAGAATGTCATTACTATGTGGTGAAGAAGACAAGTTCAGAAACTGTAATTCAAAATTCTTCAACTTGTGTTTGTCTTCGGCTCGTGTAAAATGGTGGATGAGTTTGTCTCCGGCTCGTTTGTAAAGTAGGTCAATAGTAGCATTAGGAGCCAAATCAAATCTCATATAAGGCCATCCCTTTTTAAGTGTTATATAAACTACAATTTTATCACACGTGCAATCCTTTAAGTCTTATTCTCTTATCTTGTTGATTTTCTCAATTACTTCTTGTATCATCTGTAGTAACAACAACAATAGTATCAAATTAAAGCCTTAATCCCAATAACCAAGCCACTATATATAAGTAAATAAAGTATCCGCAAATTACTAATATCTATTCTAGTAAACAAATAAGTTTGTTACCTGATTTTCATAATGACCGAGGAAAATTGGCGTAGAGTCGGGCCAAGCCCGTCCCTGAGGCAGGGCAGGAGGGGCGGCCGTCATAGGCCTTAAATTGTCTCAAAAATACATAATTTTAGGGATATTTGATTCAATAATCAAATTACGCTCATAATTTTCTTTTCTTTTGGATATGATGTTTCATAATCTAAGAATTTACGAACCCTAAACTTAAAGCATTGATAATTAAATTAGATTAGATCAAATACAAACCCTAGATTGTGAAATTGATATGATGATAACAACAACAAACAACTTACCTTAGAAGCTGCTTCAATGGGGGATCCAAGAATTAGATTCAACGGAGAACTAACGCTTCAATGGAGAACGTTGAGTGCACTTCAATGAAATAAGTCAGAGAGGTAGGAAATAGGAATGGAGGCCTTTTAAAGCCATGACCTGCCATAGTTATAATATAGATTAGATCCGTCTAATAAATAAATGGGGCGGGTCTTTATATGATCGTTTAATTATGAGACATGTGGGCTTTATAAAGGTTTTATGTAAACATGTTTTAAAGATTTTTAAATAATTATATACACCAAAGCTTGTATCAATTCTTTGTAAGTTTTGTAGATTTTTTTTTATAAAAAAAAAATAGCTGAAATTACATTAATTAAATTGAGTTTACAACAAACGAAAGGACAGTAAGTAACATAAGTTACTATTGGCATAAGAAGCCCTTACACAATATCAATTAAGGTCATTAGCGATATTTACCTTTAAGCTATTACAACGAGTGAGGACAGCGCATATAAGGCTTACCAATATACATTTTAACATGCGACGGGACTATTGATAGAACGAGGGAAGTTGGTGATGATATTTTGTGTTGTGCAAGGTATTTTCTAACATATAATTAAAAGGCTATGAATGCTGCTGAAATGACAGAGACAACCCAAAATCAGTATGTCTTACCGTAAGGGACCCCAATAATTCAAATGGATAAAATCCTCTTGAGATCTATGTTTCATACATGTCAATCACATTTCTTTGTGATCTGACAAAACCATATCTTATACTCCCCCGCCCCATAATATAGTTCCTATTGTGTTTTTTTCATGGTAATTAAGAAATGGGAGGAGAAGTGGACAAAAGTTAGACAAAAGTACAAGGCGAGTGGATAATTTAAAGGGAAAAAAGTGAAAAGTACAATATAGACAAAAGTTAGAGAGAGAAAGAGAAAAAAATACAATGCAAGTGGATAAGTTAAGGGTAAATTAGGAAGTTCAATGAATAAAGTAAAAAATAAGGGTATAATGGCCTTTACATACTATTCAAAAATAGAAACGAGAACAACATTTTGGATCACTAAAATAGGAAAACAGAAATTATATTGTGGGACAGAGGGAGTATATATTCTCATACAAGATCATGATGTTGTAATGACTTTTACCGATAACACATACAAATGGGTTTAACAACACCTACTACCATCCTCCTTCAACAAGGGTTTATGTAAATCTGAAATTGAAATTTTGCTACATCTCCCAACAAACATAAGTAACACCACTTCCATTAAAGGGACACATTTTTATTAAAACTAAAGAGATTAAAAAGGGCAATTCCAAGAGTCAAACGACTCCATTTCATCCTCCAATTAACCCTGAATTCGACTTGTCTTCGCTTTTCGATCTATTATATTGGGTGCTTCCAAAATCTAAATTTTTATTTTTTAGAAAAATTCACTTTAATTTATTAATCCGAATTTTCAGCGATTTACTCTCAATAATCCCAACTTACATTTATTAGGGAGCACTATGAACTCTTGGGTTGATTTTCTTCCACTTGGTTGATTTACCGGTGACTTAAATAAAGGGTGATTTTTATTTTGTAAAAGCCATGTGTGATGTGTCACAACATAATTGGTCCAAATTTATTTTGTAAAAAACGAAAAAAAAATAATTAAAAACCCTTCCCAGCCAGTCACCATCCTTCCTCCCTTTAGCCCCAACCCCCAACCCGATCGAAATTCGACCGCCCGCCTCCCCTAGCAACCGATAATAGCCAGTCGGCCCCTCCGATCCCTACCCCTAAAAACACTCGGGCGGGGCGACCCACCTACACCATCGAAACCACCCCCCTTCCCCAATCCCCAAAATAGCCCCTCCCTTCTCAGGTTGATGAAACTGCCCCTCCTCCTTTCCCTCGTCGTTGAAACGACCGATTGTTTAGCTCCCTCAATTGGAAATTATTGCCAAGAAATTAAATGTAGTTGTGTTACTCAAGGTTTTTGTGGTA